AGCAAATCCCACCGAGAGAAAAGAGAGAGCGGGGAGGGGGGGCTGGCACACAAGGGTTATCCTGCTAGGTGTCCACACTGCAAGGCAGCGGCTGGGAAGGAGGCTGGAACAGCCAGGCTTTGTTAGCCCAGGGATTTGGTCACACAACAAGAGCTGGTTTCTCAGTGCCTGGGAAGCTCCTTCCACAATGAGTTGGGATGAGCTGATCCAGTAAGGCAGATCCACGGCCTCCTGGGAGAGGGAGCTGGGACTGGCCCAGCAAGGACATGCATTTGCTTCTCCGTCCCCTCCGAAGGATTCGCTCCCTGTGCAGAAGCCACGTGTGGCCTCGCTGGGACGGTGACCCCCCCGGAGCTGTGCAGGCAGGAGACCCACACCCGGGCTGCAAACGTGGCAGGGACCACTGGGTCACGGCGACGGCAGCCCCGCAGCATCACGCCAGGATCCCGCCGCTGCAAACACGGCTGCTCACACCCACTGCTGGGAAGGGCAGCTGGGATCCAGGGCTGAGCTGGTCCAGTCTGAGGTCTCACCCTGGGTAACACACTGAGCCCCCTTTTCCTGCCAGCAAACAAATCACCTTCCCAAGAGAGACACACAAGTAGGGGAATAAGCCCAGAGTCACCTGAGACCTGGGAGCACCGCACACTGTCGTTAAAAAGATCTGACTGCACGAGATTCCACAGAGCTATGAGGGGTTTTTTTAATCATTCTTCTAATAAGCCTCTGCATTAGCAAATACATTTTTATTCTTTCTTTGGAGCAAGTTTTTAAATGTTAGGAATAATAAACAGAGAGCAATAAAAGCATTTGAGAATATGAATAACTTAACGATGACGTCCTACCTATCGATAGCACCGGGCATTCACAGGCGACCGACGCCAACCGCCGCTCGTGATCTTACACGTTGGTTTGGCACAGCACCCCACGCCAACTCGACATGCCACGCTGTAATTTTTAAGCCATTCTGCCTGTAACACAGGTCTGATCTCTTGAGATCTCCAAGCTCTTTTCCAAGCAGATGAATGCTCCCAACTCCCCAGTAGTCCTCCATGCTGTGCAGAACAAGGCCCCTGGAAAGCAAAGCTCTCGAGGAACAGGCCATGCTCTTCTCTACGGGGATTCAACATATGCAGCAGTTGGCAGATCATTTCAATTTTTCCCTCTAAAAAATCTGATTAGCAACAGGCCTTTTACCTGGGGTTTTGGTAAAAGGAAACCACAAATAATTACCAAACCACACCGATTAAAAATTTACCCTTCCAGACTTCCAAAACACACAGTGGATTCTTGATTAACCCAGAAGGTCCAAGCGATCACTGATGAAACTGGTCACTGCTGTTCCATAAACACAAGTCCTATCACTGAAACCACAGGAGAAGATGGAATTTGAAGGCCTGGACCAGCAGCTGAACAGCACAACTGCTAAAGGCTTTACAAAATGCTCCAACCTCTGGATACAACATCCAGTAGAGAGCACAGCAGACGGGATTTGCAAACGCTCTTCATCAGCCTGTCGCTGCCGAGCTAAACCTGACACGACTACAAGGGTTAAACAACGCCAGTGACTTCCTACCCTTCCAACAGCATCCATGCAACCCTCATGGCCACAGACAAATCCAGCACTGTGAGTCCCAGGGAGATGGAGGAAGGAGCTCCGGCGTCACTCGCAGAGCAGTCACACAATGATCTGTTTGATGACTGAAGCACTCGGTTCAATCGCTGTGGCTCGTTTCAGGAAGAAGCTGCCAAATACATTTTTGGTTTTTAATTTAGGGTTTCTCTCTTTTATGCTCCATTGTCTCTAACAGCCTCTTAGAAGCTTGAAAATAAAGTTGATCTCCCTGCCAATTTAATCCTCTCTTCATGTGACAAAATATTGTTATTCCCCCAGCTGCCTTCTCCCACACCCAGTTTTTATGCAGAATAAGGCAAAGGGGCACTAATGCCTTTAGACCCTCCAACAGCATTATCAACGAGATCATCAAAACAGCCAGCAATCTGGGACAAGATTCTTGTTTAACTTGAGGTCTTCTCTCCAAAACAGCTCCAACAGATTACTCAGTCTTGCACAAAGTGTGGTTTATGTCAATGCCTATACAGACACAGCACACACCTTTCTAAGTTCTTGGCACCAACTTCAACATGCAGGCTAAGACAGCTCTGCTTTGGAAATAAAGAACTGCATTAGGATACAAAAAGCCTCTTGGATAATAAAAATAGGTCCTGCCACACAGCTGTACCCCCTCGTGGCTTGCTCTTGGCCCATTTGCAGCTTCCTTCCTCCTGCCTTTCCTAATCCCTCCAGGAACTCATCTCCAGGCATCAAAAAAGGACAGAGAATCAAACCTTCTTGAAAAAGTTACCTGGATCTGGAACCCACCTACTTTCCACCTAGGAAAAAGGAAGTGACCACATAAGAATGAGTTCTTCATTCTTATATAATAACATATAATATAATAACATCTAATATAACATAATAACAACACTATTATCATTCAGAGAACACTGCCTTTGTCAACCATGGAGCACAGCTTGTTTTAGTCACATAAATATTTGTAGGCATTTATTCACATAATTTTCTACCTCCCCTCACCTCTAGGATACATATAAAAATGCCTAAACAATTAAAATATGGCTGGGTCCAATGTCCCAGAGAGAAGCAGCTGCTCCACAAAAAGGAGGACAAAGGCAAAAATAACCTAGAAAGAAAGGAAGAGTGGGTAAGAGAGGCCAAAATGGACAAAAATAAGCTTGACAGTTAATGAAATCAGTTAAAACGGGGTTAGAAGTGCAGGTCTTCAAGCAGTCTTTACACTACAGATCTGTCCCCAGAGGATTAGGTGATGGACATAGGGGGTAAGGTAAGCAACAGGATGCTGAGCTGTTTTATTTCTCTAACCATTGTCGTTCTGGTTGCATGAGGGCAGCAGGGAACATACTACACAGATCTTTATTTATCCAGAGATGGGTGAATGAAACTTGCTTAATATGAATGATGAAAATACACAGCATTAGGAACAATCTAGAATTGCAAGAATTTACCAAATTTCTTAATCACTTGTTTCTTGATCAGTTTCTACTGGTTCCTCACCACTGCAACATCATTCTCATCTGGAAATCTTATCAGGGGTGTCTCCAGTGATCCCTTACTGAGACACAATAACCCCACATCTGCCTACCCCATCCCTGTGCTGGGTGTAAATGTCATTACAGCAGAGGCCTCACAATTCAGTGTCTGCTCCTCAGCTGCTGCAATCCACAACCTGCCCAAAAACTACAACCTCCCTATCGCTGAATGCTCATGAGAGCAGCAGGGTGCAAACCCGGGGAGCTGGGAATGGCACTGTCCACCCTGACACTCCTGCTACAGGGACAGCAGCATCTGAAAAACGAGGCAGTGTGAAAAGCTGGGAGCAATAATGTGTTAGATGAATCTGGAATGAATCACTGGAGATCATGAATTTGAACCCTGAGATCTTCAGGGAAGAATAAATCCAGCTCCTAGAGAAGTCTACAGAAGTCTCCCCAGCAACTTCAAGTGGGGATGGATTAGGTCGCACACAACTGCATCGCTGACAACCACTGGGCTAGAAGAATCACACTTTGATATTAATCCCCCTCTTCCCCTGGCAGAAATAAACATCTCGTGTAATAACGCCTTCCTCTGGAGCGTCTGATCGTGGTCTGAACACCAGCAATGAGGTGGATATCTGTGGGTATTTTAAACTTACAGAACACTGAAGAAAATGATGTTCTAGCCCCCAAGTTTATAAACCATCTAAACAAGTGTTTTGGTATTTCTTTACTATCTTCCATTTAAGGATCTTAAGTGCTTTAGCGGTGCTGGAACCTAACGCTGAACTCTCAGGTGGTACATGAAAGCATGACTACTGCTTCACTAGCAACAGGGGAAAGTTAAGCAACACGACTAAACTCACAAAGCAAATCAGCATCAGGTCCTGTTTCTGGATCCCTAGTCCTCAACCACAAGATAAGACACTATTCCAGTGCTCCTATTATATTTGAATTACACCTACTTATGTCCAAGCATCAAAAGCGCTTCTACCGATCTCTAATTACTTCCAGGCACGGCAAGAAGATTTCAGGCCTGAACGTTCACAGCACATAGATTATGGTATTAGCCATTCATGAGATATTAGTTGTTAACATTCCCTGATGCTTTGTATTATTTTTGGTTTATAATCCCACTCTCAAATAGCATAAAGCATTGCTATCTAGCCAGAAGAATTCAAAACATACCTGCGGCAAAATTACGTTGTAACTGAAGTATGCACACACATAAGGGAAAAGAAAAGAGTTAGCACAGCACTTCCCAGTGTTGATATTCCACATCACAAACCACAGGTTATGGCTGTTTATCACTGGGACACTCAAGTCTTTAGTTGAACAGCACCCTGTGTTTAATCGTAGGGAAGGCTGGAGGCAGGATGTCCAGCGTCACGTTCCAGCATCAGCTTTGCTCTTTTCAGCTGCATAGTTCATACAAAACAATTCCATAGACTTGAAAATCAAAGGAGCAGATTTACATTGCACTGCTACACACACTCCCACATCTCTGTGCACTACATATATAGGCACACACACACACACACATATATATATATGCCTCTTGGAAACCTCGGAATGGGCAAGAAAAAACAAAGCAGAGAGGAGGTTCCTGGTGGTTTCAAGCATCAAACAAGACAAATGTAGATTTGATGGAAACATTCAGAGGCTGTTGTCTATCCAGGAGGAAGGAGGCAAAAGTCTTAAGGAAGGAGTTGATAACAGCACAGCAAAGATGCTCAAACTATTTCTGCTTGGTATTTACTTTGAGGATTAACCATCATCTGCCAAGCTATCTGATCCACAGCAGGTCTGAAAGTGCTTTTAAAACACATTGAATCTTGTTGCCAACTAATGAAACTGCCGTACAAACCAGCTTTGTTTCATTTGTTGTCGTTCTTTCAAGTTATCCAAAAGGTTCTGATACTCACAAGGCTCTGGTTGACAAGGCAAAGTCACCTGATGCTTTTTGACACCATCGAACAAGAGCTCTGCACCACCTCTGAAATAAAAACAACGAACCACTGAGATGTTGGTTTATTGTCAGAAGGAAGACAGCACAAAAGAGGCGATTTACATAGATGCCACGACAGAGAAAACAAATGACACAGACTATATTCAGCACAGGATTCTCTTTGTCTTTTTTTCCCCATGTTTGTAGGGGAAGCTGCCATCTCCCATCACCAGCACACACACACACACAGGAGGCTCCGTTACGGGCCAGAACCCCTCCCAGCAGAACAGGAGGATTGCTCTGTCCCAGCGCGGCGCCCGGCCCATCGCCTTCCCTCTCCCTGCAGCCATCATCGCCTCCACTCCAATAAAACTACAGCCCCCACGCCAGCCCCAACACCACTCACCCCTAACACCTTTTGGGCCAGAAGTCTCAAGGTGTCTCACAAAACATGAAAAATCGTAGCATCCTCCTGGGATAAACATTCCCCCAGTTCCCACTTGCAAACAGAGGACACGAGTCAGACGCGGTTACGCAGCGAGTCAGCGGCAGAGCCAGCAGCCCCTGAGTCCTGGCCACCATCTCTTCATCTACTTACTACAAAGTGTTCCCTCTCGGAAGGGATTTGACCAGGAGAAGCAAGCAGAGCAAGCAATGATGATAAGTTAAAGTAAAAATAAATAAATACACAATGTTCCTCCACTGAACACCCTGATTAACGTCGCTCCTCTGATATCCAGAGCGCGCTGGGGGAACAGCCGCAGATAACTAAGCGGTGGCCTCTGCAAGCACAAGAGATCAAGGGTGAGCAAAACATGCAGAGGCTGGCAAATACAGGAGCTGGTCCTCACACCTCAAAAACTGGGATTTAAATTGGGTCCAGGTACCTAAAATCTTTAGGCTCTTAGAAAGAGCCTCAGCAAGCTCCTCACCTCTATTCCCTTTCTGGAAAAAAAACCAATTGTGAATATAGAATCACAGAATCATCACAGACTGGTTTGGGTTGGAAGGGACCTTAAAGCTCACCCAGTCCCAACCCCCCTGCCATCAGCAGGGACACCTTCCACTAGACCAGGTTGCTCAAAGCCTCATCCAGCCTGGATATCTCGAGCTTTACAAACATAAATCAGTTTTCTTGATGTTGTGAGGCCACTGGCCAAACTCAGAAGATTATAAAACTTTATCACATGAGTAGGGACGTGGATAAAAACCACAAATGCTACTTTAAGATATGGGACATAGATAGTGTGAGCTCTTGACTCCAGACTGAACAGGATGGGCAAAGTTTTATCAATTAGGAAACTCTTAAAAAAAACTCAACTCACTTGACACTCAGCTGAGATAGAAACTTGCTGAGATTTACAACTGTGGCAAACTGTTCCTTCAACTTAAATGCAGATTATTTTAAGAAAATTTTCTTATGAAGTTACTTTCTGGAAACTTATTGGTGCCTCACATCCCTTTGAAAACCAACACAATAAAGAGAAGTATTTAAAATAAATAATCCCCACCTAAATATCAACCAAGATACATCCAGATGTTACTAAAGTTCCTTTAAATTCGATATCTAAAAATGCCACAGTAGGTTTTCTTGGCTCTGCAATGGGAAGAGCACAACAGAACCCTTGTTACACCCTCGGCAGCGTTACTTATATGCAGCAACTCTCCTAAAGAGCACTCTTGTTGGTGTTCTTCCACAGCTCACAAAAAAAGAGTTATCTGAAAATTGAAGCAGCGATTATCACCACGAGCCGAGATTCATGCGAGGGAACAAGTCACAGCAATTATATGAAAAACATTTTTTTATGTAATGAAAACAAGGTCACGCTTTGTTACAGTGGGAAATGTAGATTGCAAGATAAGGTCCTTCTGTAATGCGCTAGCTGTGGGGAACTCAGCTGTGATCCGTACATAGAGAGCTCATTTATGCATTTCCAAGGGAAGCAAAAATGCATCTCACTCTTCTGGGAAAAATTAGGAGAGTTGCTGCAGCTGGAAGTGGGAAAGACTGAGGAAAGGATTCTTAAGGAGAAGGGTATTTAAAGGGTTATGGCGTTTCTGTGCTTGTGAAAGGGTGGGAAAAAGCAAATAAACAGTAGCCTTTTAGCTTCTGGTAAAAGGAGGCTTTAACAAAACAACACAAGCATTTCCACAAATGTGCACAGACTTCCACTGCAAACACTTCAACTTCCCAGCGCCAGAGCGTTGGCAACGCAGATACTACAGCAGCCAAGACCTGAAAGTCACAGTGCTACAAAGCCAGGACCTGCTATTTTACACTGAAATGAAATGACTGAAACACAGAGCGAGTGTGTGTGTACGGGCACATAAAACACACACTTATGGAGAGGTACAGAGAAAAGAAGCCGAAAAACGAGTGCAGGGTTTTTATAAACAATTTTAATAATTAAAAATATATATAAAAGGTTAAAAGGGGAGACAGGAAAGGCCGCACAGAGCCAGAAGCGAGGCCACGCCGCCGCCTCGCCGCAGACGGGCAGGGCAGGGCAGGGCAGGG